CTTCCTAAATCTTTTATAGGGATTTTTTTTTTTTTAATCACTTTCTCCAACCTACTAGATTCTAAATAAGCTAAGAAGGTAATTTCTTAAAGTGAAATGTGAGGCAGATGTCTAAAAACCTGCATGTTGGTTACTGATTATTATTCTTGATTTGCTCTTTAGATAAACTTTTTGCCGTAGTGAAATTCCTGTAGTCTTTAGCTGAATTGAAGGTTATGACTAATGAGTTTCTGAAGTGCGGCTCTATACTGATCACAGGAAAGGGAAAAAAAGAAGCTGATTACTGTACTGAGGGGGGGGGAAGTGATTGTCAGCATGGCTGTGTATTACCCCTTCTTTGGATTCTTAGAGACATTGAGGGGTTTCTTCTGCCTTCTGAAACTTGGGCTGGAAGCTTCAGTGTGTGTGTGTGTGTGTGTGTGTGTGTATCTGTCCTGACAGTTTGCAGTCATTATTACGGAAATTAATCTGTTTTTTTTCTTTTATTTTTTTTTCCCCTGTAGATTTGTTTATTTTGTACTACTACTCCTTTTATCTGAAAAAAGAATTAAATATCTTTTCTTCCCCCTTGTTACAGCTTGTAACAGAACATGCCTTTGAAATTCCAGACAACATCAGGCCTGGGCATCTCATAAAAGAGCTCTCAAAAGTGATTCGTTCTGTAGAGGTAAGAACAGAGACAAGCCCATGTAAGCCTGCAGAAAAAAAAGATCTTTGAATCAGGGAATTCCGTAGTAGTTATGCTTCTGATTGTTGCCACATTGACCTTTTAATTTATTTAACATTTTTTTAATACTAGAAGATCAAGAGGAAGACTGTTGGGAATACTAAGCTATGGGTATTTCAGATAAAGAAAGTGCATAGCAAGGGTGTTTTATGTATTTAAAAAAAAATTAACATGGAAATTATTTATATGTCTAATTATAAAATATTCTCACTTACAATAATTACTGTGAATATGTTGTTAAAGAGTTTAATTTGAAATTCTGTGCATATTCCATTCTCCTACCCTCTTCTTTGTTAGTTTTGGTCCAGTTGTCATCTCTTTTGCTCTTTTTCTTATGTTTTGTTGCTATTTGTTATATAGTAAGAGTTTTTTTTCTTTTCCCCCCTCCTGTACTAGTGTTTTGCTCCTTTGTTCCTTAAGGAATATTGTTTATTGAAAAATTTTCATATTTGCATGTGGAGAGAACAGTTCTGAGAACTGAAACACATGCCTACCCTATGCTGCCTTCATGAGTGTGGTGGTAACTTTTGGTGTTAAGCCCTGCTATTATGGGAGAGTGTAAAGGCCTCAAATGAAAAAGAGGTGCAGTAGAGTACACCAAATCCATAGGAAATATGCAGTACTTCTCTAAAAAATTTATTTATATAATTTACATTGAATTAGATGAATAAGAAGCGGCACTTAAGTATGTGGAAAACAGAAAACTGGGACTATTCTGAAATATGTGTTTTTAATTACAGGAGGAAAACAGCAAACTAGTTAAAACTCAGGGAATTCTCGGTGTGTGTCCAACTTCACGGTCTTCGCAGGAAACGAATTCCTCTCACTACTCCAGACGAAGGGTGAGGAAACTGCGAGACCATGCAACCAAAACTCCTTCTAATCTGGACATCCTGGAACTCCACACCAGGGAGGTACTGAAAAGGCTGGAGATGTCACCATGGGAGGAGGCAAGTATTAAGTTATGTGCAAGAAACAAAACCAGAGAAGATTTCTAATCTGTGTTGAAAGGGAAAAGCTTTTAACATGCATAAGAATAGAGGCTGCTATTCTTTGTCATATGAGACATGGATAGGTTTGGTTTTGGTTTCTTTTTTTTGATTTTTCCTGATAGGAATTTTTATCTTCCTTGACTTTTTTGTGAAAGTTCCTTCAAACTTTTAGTTCAGGTGCCCTGAATCCGTTACCTACTTCAAGTATAGCTTTTGAATTAGGACTGTCGAGTGCTAATTTGAATCAGTTCTGTGAAGAAAAGGGAGCTTGCAAAGCCTTGATTTGGTGAGGCTCTGAGCCAGACTGCTTCTTAATGGGAGTTGGACTAGGTGACCATTAAAGGTCCCTTCCAACCCAAACCATTCTGTGATTCAGTGTGTTTTTAGATAGCTGATTCCTATAGTTCAGCTACCGTAATTTGATTAGCCTTATTTTTGGTCGTGTTCCTATTTCCTGTATGACTGTGCCTCCCTGCCAGTAAGCCTAAGGCTGCCTTTGGTCTCCATTGTGGGGCTGTGGACTTTGTGGTTATATTCCAAATGTATCATGGAGTGAATGAGTGAAAAGTAGTCTCTTGAAAAAAATATTTTTTTTCAGGTTTGATGACCTTATTTCAAAAAACAGCAAGAGAAATGGGAGAAAGAGTGAGAGAATGGAAATAAGTAGCTTTATGAAAGGAAATAAGTAGCTTTCTGAGAACAAGAAACGCTGACAAATTGAACCAGGGACAGGATGGACTGTCATAGTGGAGAAATACCAGTTTGGGTCCTTAAATTGATCTTCATAAGGCATGGACAAGAGACATTCATTTAGTCCCCAAAGACAGGAAGCTGAATTTAAAATTTACCACAAATGGTTAACCTGTGCAGGTCATTGCTACAAAAAGTTTTTAAAATAAAATGTTCAGGAGTATTAGTCGTTGTCTTTTAATGTAGAAATATATTGTTCACTATCAGTATTGACTTTTTTTTTTTAAAAAAAAAAAGTATTACTATTTCACATGTTCCTGCTTTGGCACATATTGCCAGTTGCTTCAGACTATATATCAAATGTAAATTGCTTTGAGCTAAGAAAGTTCTGCTTATGGCAGGTTGCTTTCCATTATTGATGTTGTACTGACCTTTAAATCAGTTCTGGGATACTAATTCCAGGGATCAGATACCCAATCCAGGAGTTGTCTTATTCCAAGCCCAGCTTTTGGCTTGCCTGTCTTTATTGGTATTTCTTTGCTTTGAATACAGTGATAATTCTTCAAAGGAAACATAAAAGCAATATTACGGTGAAGTTGTAGTTGATTTAGATGCTTCAGGAGAGTATAGATGATTCAAGGAAGGAGGAGATGCAGTTTGCTGTTTTTTACATCCAAACATGTTTTGTCTGAGCTTTCTTCAGTTGGTTATCAGGAAGGTAACCATCCTGGTGCTGAGTTTAAGCTTTTGTGGGGTGCAGAAAAAACAATTAAATTTATAGAAATAAATAATAAGCAACATTGCTTTTAATTCTTTAGGATACTGCAAGCTCAAAACTGAATGGGAGATTTAACAAGCCTTTTCAGCCATCTTCTACAGTACCTGAATGGCGAACAAAGGACAATGATCTTCGCCTTTTGCTGTCAAATGGAAGAATAATTAGGTACAAAGTGTTGGTTATGGATCACTTCTTCCTAGTCGTTATCATCTGGAACATGCTAATAGTGAATAACATTTCTTTTCTTTTTGTGGAGCTCTAAGTTCCCTCTTACCAGTAAGATTTATGTTAGGAATATAGAAGGAATGTGTTGTCTGTTGTGTCTGCTGTCCCCTAGTGGTCCCACAGTTGTGGAACGAAGAGGAATAGATGCTTTGCATGTTCCTTTGTTACAGCATTTCATTCATAGATTCAGTTGCTCAGTTGGGTTTGTACTGAATGCAGGGCTTCAAAATAGAAACAGTTGTTTTGTGTCCATCTATTAGAGCAATTCTCATTAAAAATATTCTGGTGTAAAACTTTGCATCTTCATGGAAATGACAGTTTTACGGGGAATAAAATGGGAATAAGAGATGAGCATAAGAGAATGTTGCCGTTGTATCTTGAAAGCATGTTGTAAATAATGAAAGGAAAACAATAGCTTCAGCTTTGTAAGAATAACATTTCTTTTTCTTGTGAGACAGAGATGAGAGACGCCCCTTTACAGATCGAAGTCTTTACACAGCAGATAGTGAAGATGATGATGACAGGACAAGGTCGAAAAAGACAACTGTTAAGGTAGAAGAACAGCCATCAGGATTTGAAGGAGAAGGGAATGCAGATGCCCAGAAACCACTGAACAGTAAGCTTGTGTCTAAGTCCTATCAGTTGAAGATTTTGATGATCTTGAACAAGGACTAACTCTTGTGAAATCTGACTGAAATTTTACCAAAGTATAAAGAGGATAAACTAATAGAGAAGTTATATTAGAAGTCACAACAAAACATTTGTCAAATATTATCTGTCCACTGAAGAAGCTAACAGCATAGAGTTGAAAAGTAAACTCACCTCCTCATGTTAGTGCCATCTTGAATACTATGTACAGCATTTTTCAGAGTAGGGGTTTAACTGGTGTTCTAGATGAGTATTTTTTCCTTTTGGTCTGTTTTATAATGTAAGAATGCCGATTTTTCTTTACCAAAATATACTTCAGTGTGAAAAGTTCGTCACATCATTCACTGTAGAGAATAAAAAAATCATAACATGCAGCTAATTTTAAATCATATCATATATTTCACTTTTCTGATCCATTTGGTGGTTACAAACTTGATCATACAGTTTTGTATGTTTTGCTAATTAATAGGTTTATTCCATACAAATGATCAATCATAATTTAGCATTAATAAAATCTTATACTTTCAACCTTTGCAGCAATCTGCAAGGCTAAGGAAGAACTTAGGTTATCTGTAAAACATTTTAACCTCACTTTCCAGTACTTTAAACCAACCTGCACTGCGAGTTAATATTTTCTGGTCTTTCTGTAGCCTGAAGCCTTCCTGACAAGCCTTCAGCAGTGCTGATCACAGTAAAGTATCAATATTGAGTTGCTGTTTTCAGTGCCTGTTTTTAATAGCATGACCTGTGTGCCATGAGGGATAGGTCCCTGAAACTGCTGTTCAGCTCTCTGTTTAATTATAAAAGTCACATCCTTTCACAGTAGAGCTTCCAGGGGCTCAGGGGGTATGTATTAGGAAACTGAGGTCAACACTTAAAAGGTAACAGGGCTCCTCTAGAGACACAGTTCCCTTGGTCTCCTGCACAGCAGTCCATAACAACATTTGAGTCCATTGTCAACCTGGAGAAAATATTTAATTATTTTCATTAACAAAGCAGTTTGTAATCCCTGTTGACTGTGCTTCCAAAGGTCACAGAGGACACCATTAAAAATTTTACAGGGCAGAGAGGTCCCTCTTGGGTCCTCATGAACCAACAAGGCAAATAACTTGTTGAATGGAGGCTTAGGCATATGTGGTGGTTTTCCACATTTTTTTTTTCAAAATTAAACTGTTTTACACTTGAATCAAAGATTAAATCATACAGAGATATGGTAGATTTTCTTCGAAATTGTTACTCTTATTTGATACAGAATGAATATTGCAATGTGTATCTAAATGTGAGAAATGTACTTAGAACTAGAAGTGAATGTTGAGACTGTTCTTCCAGAAATTGAGTACTCGGGACTGTTGCTGATATTTTTGATTGAATAGTGAGAGTCTTCAAAATTCCCTATTAAAGATCACCTACATTTGATTATTTTGCCTTAACTGGAGGTCTGTATGGAGAGAGAGAGAGAGAGAGAGAGAGAAGGTAATCTTCTGCAGAGAATTCCATAAAAGACACTACCTGCTTCTGCAGCAGCTGCCACCTTCCATTGTTCATACTGGGATGCAGGCCAAGAGGCAGTGTCCATAGAGAGATGCCTTTAAACAGATCAAGCTCTATATAGCTTTGTGTGTCATGCTAAGATCCTGGATCTAAATGGTGACCCAGTGTTATCAGAGAGACACAGATCAAGTGGTGTGCTTAACAGAGCAAGATACTTTGTGTGGATGAAGGGATTTAAGATACTTTTTTTGAATTCACAGTAGCTTAGCCTGATCTTACAGATAACAACTGCTTTCACTCACCTGATTTCTGGAGTATTCCTCCCAGTCTCTGGAATCATACAGAGCCATTGTGTAGTTTTATGTGAAACTAGAAGTACTCAAAAACTTGAAGAAGTTATGTTGCTTTCTTTATCCGCTACCTTCTTGACACACATTCAGAAATACTTAGTTCTATTCAGCTCTTCGCCAAAAGACTTTTGCTAGTTAAACTGCATATTATAGTCTCATAAATTTGTACTTATCAGGATTTCTGCCAGCAGCCATGACAGAGGTGTACATACAGCCCACTGACCTTGAGCCTTGGATTCTGAACACTTATAAATGTTTTTCCTACTGGTGGTTCTTTGGGACATATGCTGTCTTTTAAGAGTACATGCTTCTGAGACCTACTCAGCTAGTTCAGTTTGAGTTCTTTCAGCACTGAAAAATGTAAACCATGTGGACTAGGTGGCTGATTTCATTGATTGCTTTGTCATTTGTCAGCATTTTTGATATCTATTTTGAAACCTCATTCTCTGATTAGTACTCTAGCTTACTACTAGCTAAAAGTGTGTCTAAGGCTGGTATTTCTTCTCCTCCTCTTCCTTTCCAAAATAATTGTTAAATATTATATGTAATAAATGTTTGGTCTAATATTTTAATTTTTCTCTCCTCAGTGTTCTTTGAAAGTGTGAAATCAGAACTCAGGAATGGATCCTCAGAGTACTCTGATATTTCTGATTCAGAAGAATCTGAACCTGATTGCACTACCCAGGTATAACTACAAAAAGTCGCAAAAGTTAACGAAGCAATTAAATATGATTTTGTTCACATGCTTCAAATTTATCTGGTCAAAGTTTGTGTTAAAGAGTAATAACAAAGTATTTAATGCTTTTTCAAGTTAATATCTCAGACTTACAGTTCTGCCTCATTCTTCATTTATTCTAGTGTTGAGAAAAATGACAAAATATGCTGTCTTGAGCCAAATTTTATGATCATCTTTGTCATTAAAATGGGGCTGGCAGAGGATGAGCCCTGCTCTGGAACATGCAAAGTCTGAGAAGAGTTAGGTCCTAGTTGCTTTGTTAATTGCTTCCATAACAAGTCAAAATTTCATCATTGGAATTATGATTATGTTGCTGAAAGTTATCTTTTGTGAGAGCAGGAACACACAGTTTTATTTTAGAGCATGGTTAAATGGAAACAATCTTATAGGCCTTCAGTTTTTTAAATAAGCTGAAGTGGCTAGATCTTGTTGAGGTGTTCTAGACTATTTGAAATAAATCCATTTGAGGATTTAGATTGTAGTGATTTCTTTACAACTAAACAAAATCTAAATGCATACACACGTGTATGTATGTATATATTTACATGAGTGAATTTTAATACAGCTTCAGTATTTAGAAATGTACATATTTATATACAAATATTTTTATTATTTTTTTTCACTTGCCAAGTTGTGCTCTGACTTACTAATTTCAGTTCTAATTGAATAACAGTAAAATCCTAGTAGGTTGGAGTCATTACCTCAGATTTTTGTTTTATGATTCGGGAAAGCTGGTGCTTTGGTCTTTCTTTCAATCATCAGCCTATTGTAAGACTTTACAAGAAGTCTTCAAATTCCTACTTTTTCCATGGCGGTCAAGATCTATTTTTAATATTTGTTATCTTCTGTCATTACCTTATCTAGATGTTGGAATAAGTGATAGGAACCTTCATGATGTGGCTTATTCTGGTTTCCTAAACCGCATTGTCAGCAACTTTGGCTCAACAGGTTTCCTTTTTTAAGACACAAAATCAGTAGTTACTCAGAAGTTATATATTTCTTCTTTACAGGAGAATGTAACCAGTTTTGGATGACGTCGTCATTGAGTGAAATGTTTTGTATCAATACCATTTAATCTCTTAGTTCCTAAGGGAATAATTTTTCTGCATGTTTAAATTTGTCTTTTGTAATATATCCAAAATGAACTGTTTCAGTAACTCCTGTAAATCTTTTTCTATGTTTTCATATTGCAGTGAAGAAGATCTTAAAACAAGATAATAGCTTTATTACTAGCATTGAGTCATAGTTATAATTTAATTGCCCATTTCTGTCACTTTACAAGTGTCAAGTATTAACAAGCTGATGTTGTGAATGAAGTTATTGTATAAAAACGTGCCTTGGTGATATGATGCCCTTCATTAATTCTAGTTCCATTTTTGATAGGGATAGTGGTGTCAGTCTTGAAGGATTATGATTCTGATAATGTTCTGATCTTCTGCTTTCAACACTTCTGTTGAATATCATGTATAATCCTTGGCTTGAAAAAACATTGTGGTGTTCTTTGTACTTGTTGAAAATAGATTAGTCTGAATTACCAAGATGGAACATATCTATTGTAGCCCTTGCTTCACATAAAGGCATATTGAGACACATATGGTTGCTCCACCTTTGAGAAGCTCCTGCCCATACAAGCTGTGATCTCAGCAGGGGCTGAAAAGCCCTTTCATTCCTGAAATGAGGCTGTGCCGCTGTAAGAGAGGCAACAGCTGTTGTCTCTGTTTCTGCTGTGTTCTGGATTTACCTGAGAGCTTCTGTCATTCATCAGAGAGATGCTGTTGCTGAAAGTTATCTTTTGTGAGAGCAGGAACCAAGAAGAGTTACTAAGGGCAGGATGTGTCCCATTACATGTAATAGGCATCAATTCTGGCTGCTGCTTTGAACCATACTGCCATATTTTTTCTTCTGCTTTTAATATTGAAGATAAGAATAATTAATGCTGTCTTTAAAGAGATTACAATAATTTGTGCCTGGTTCAGTGTGTGCAGTGTTTTCTGTAAGAAAATGGATTTCAGAGAGAGCTTTCTATATTGCTGGAGCATGTACTCATCCATGTTAGAAAGTTTGGGTGTACAGCATCTCAGTTGCTGTATTCAAATTAACTGCATTCTGAATATTATATATATAAAACAGCTGGACCTGGAAGCTTTTGAATTTTTTACTTAGCATAAATTAAGGTGCCATCTCTGTTTAGAAGGCATGATGACCATTCTGCATACTGTTTCCTCTTGTTTCAGCAGAAGGATTCCTCTATAGAGGAGTCGGAAAGCTCAGGTGATGAAGAGAAACAGGAAGTAACATCAAATTTCAAAGAGGAACCTAAGGTCACAAGAGACCTTTGTCAAAATACCCAGAAGCCATCCAGAAATGAAACTCCCAGTAAAAAGTAAGCACATTGTGGGCATTTGTTTGTACACTGTTAGACCTTTCTGCAAATATTTATGGTTCTGCTTTTATACCAATGCAAATAATCATTCCTTCAGAGAAATTGAGTTCTGTTTTGAACTGCTTAATAATCCTGTATTTCTCTAGGGAATGTCCTACCTCGACAAGTACAGAAGAAGAAGCTATTCAGGGCATGCTTTCTATGGCAGGATTGCACTATACTACATGTTTACCAGGTCATACTCAAAGCACAGACTGCACAGATAAAAGAGCCTCTCTTCAGGAACACAGAAGCTACCCCAGGAGTCGTCATAAAGACAGACAGCCATCTCAGAGCCACAAAACAATAGAATGTGGTAGGTATCTGAACTAATGACACTGCTGCTCCCTGCTCTTGGAGAAACTGCTCAGAATAAGAACTCAATGTTTGATATTTAAATTTGTAGTCAAGATTTTAAGTAAATCAGGGTGACATTCAAAAAGGTGTGTCCTCTGGGGTTTTTGGTGTGGTTTGGTTTTGATTTTGTTTGGTTGTTTTTTTTCCCCTATAAAAGTAGACGTTACTTCTGAAAACTGGGACAAACTTACCTTGAGAGATCATAAGAATACATCATCTAAATATTGCTGTCTAAAAGTTTTGTGGCATCCTTACAGGAGTGGCAAAGCTGTGGCTGGGTTGAAAGTGTAGTTGCCTTACTGAAAGTGTAATCTTCAGAAAAGATTGATAGAACCTTCATGGTTGCTGCTTTCATGGCATGTTTGCTACTTAGATACCCATAAGAGTCTGCTTGGTGATTTTTCACGTGTCTTTGGAAGGCTTGTTTGGCTTAACCCCTGAAATTCTCCTATGAATGCAGCACATTAAAGGACATTCTAATCTTGAAGAGGAGAATCTATTCTCTCTGGTGACCAGTGAAAGGACCAGAGGAAATGACAGGAAGATGTGCCAGGGAAGGTTTAGGTTGGACATTAGGAAAAGGTTCTTCACCCAAAGGGTACTGGAGCAGGCTCCCCAGGGAGGTGGTCATAGCACCAAGCCCGAAAATATTCAAGAAGCATTTGGACAACATGTGCCCTCAGACACACAGTCTGAATCTTGGAATTGTCCTGTGCTAGGGCAAGAGTTGGACTCGATGATCATTGTGGGTCCCTTCCAATTCACAACATTATATGATTCTGTGATAATTCAGAGGTAATTTTTTTGTCAGTGGCATTTTGATGTCTGTGGAAAACAGACATCTCTTAAATACATTCTGGGAATGACAGACAGAAGAACATAAACACTAATCCCCTCAAAAGAATCAAAGTCACTTCTTGGAACAGAGAGAGAGAGTAATTGTGTTAGAAAATGATTGATAAAGAAATGATTGATAAAGAAATGATTGATAAAGAAATGATTGATAAAGAAATGGAAGAGGCTTTGCTGATGTGAAACAAATAGAACCCGACCAACAAATAGAGTGCTAATTCAAAGAACTAATAGTATGTTGATTTTTGTTTACATAGAGAACAGGAAAGCCTAATGAATTGTCATGGATGGTGTTCTGGTAATCGAAGCTATATGTCCTTAAAACCCACCAACCAAATTAATAAATAAAAAAAATAAAACCACCACTGCCAACAAAAAACCCTAACCAGCAGAGCGTGCAGAAATATATGGGGCCTTTCCATCTTTGTAACTTTATGAAAAACATAATCTCTAGGTTTCTAAATTGTGCTGGGTTGACTCAGGCCAGTAGCTAAGCATCCACACAGCCACTTGTTCTCTCCCCTCACCCTGTGGAGTGGAGGAGAGAATAGAAAGAGCAGAAGTGAGAAGATTCATGGGTTGAATCCTCCCGTTTAGTAAGTGGAGGATGGGAAAAGAAACAAGTGGTGCAAAAGCAATCGCTCGCCACGTTCTGCAAGCAGACTGATGCCCAGCCAGTCTCTGAGCAATGACTACCCTGGAAGACGGCCTTTCCCCGCAGCCTCTTCCTCTACCCCAGTTTTTATTGCCAAGCATGACGTTACATGGTGTGTAATATTGCTTTCTCCAGTTCAGGTCAGCTGTCTTGGCTGTGTCTCCTCCCAATCTTTTGCTTTCTCCTAGCCTACTTATTGCAGGGGCAGAGTGGGAAAAGAGAAGGCTGTGACACTGTCCAAGTGCTGTTCAGCAACAGCCAAAACTTTGGTGTGTTACTAACACTGTTTTAGCAACAGATCTAAAATATAGCACCATATGGACTGTTAGGAAAAAGTTCCATTGCAGCCAGACACAGCACATGTGTCAAACTCCATGAGTGATGAAGATGACACTGCTCCTTAGCTAGCAGGTTTTGCAAAACCTTTCAGTCTCTCCAAATTTGAATTGTGTTGGTGTCTTAAGATACCCTTAATTTTACAAGTTAACTGTATTGTAAATGTGTTTTCAATGTGGACACTTCTATACGCCTATCCGCGTAGATCTTCCATGTGTTGTACTTGAATAGCACATCAGTGCTTAGAAACAATACCGTCAGTAACACCTGAAAATTAAATGCAATGTGTGTCTTGCTGACAACACCGAGCTGTGTGGTTGTAGTTGACATGCTGGAGGGACAGGATGCCATCCAGAGGGACCTTGACAGGCTTGAGAGGTGGGTCTGTGCTAACCTCATGAAGTTCAACAAAGCCAAATGCAAGGTCCTGCAACTGGGTCGGGGCAATCCCAAACATAAATACAGGCTGGGTGATGAGTGGCTTGAGACCAGCTCCAAAGAGAAGGACTTGGGAGTGGTGGTTGACGAGAAACTCAACATGAGCCGACAATGTGCACTTGCAGCCCAGAAGGCCAATAGCCATATCCTGGGCTGCATCAAGAGAAGCGTGTCCAGCAGGTTGAGGGAGGTGATTCTCCCCCTCTACTCCGCTCTTGTAAGGCCCCACCTGGAGTGCTGTGTTCAGTTCTGGAGCCCCCAGCACAACAAACACATGGACCTGTTTGAACAAGTCCAGAGGAGGCCACCAGGATGATCCGAGGGCTGGAGCACCTGTGCTGTGAGGACAGGCTGAGAGAGTTGGGGCTGTTCAGCCTGGAGAAGAGAAGGCTCTGGGGAGATCTTATAGCGGGTTCCCGTACCTGAAGGGGCTACAAGAAACCTGGGGAGGAACTTTTTACAAGGGCAGGTAGTGACAGAACAAGGGGTAATAGCTTTAAGCTGAAAGAGGGGAGGTTTAGATTAGATATTGGGAAGAAATTCTTTCCTGTGAGGGTGGTCAGACACTGGAACAGGTTGCCCCAGAGAAGTTGTGAATGCCTCATCCCTGGGAGTGTTTAAGGCCAGGCTGGATGAGGCTTTGAGCAACCTGGTCTAGTGGAAGGTGTCCCTGCTCATGGCAGGGGGGTTGGAACTAAATGATTTTTAAGGTTCCTTCCAACCCAAACCATTCTATGATCTTTGTATGAACTCCTCATGATACAAAGCCAAGGTAGAAAACCGAAAACTGCAGCATAACAAAGAAAGTAAGCTGTCTTCAACATTGGTACTTTCAACTTTGAATTATTATATTTGTCTGACCTTAGTGTGGTATGTGGATCTTTAATTAGATGTAGTTATACTGCAAGATTGTTTTCCTAATTTAGTGTGTAGAACCGAGCAGCTCTTACAACTTTTATTTTGTATCTAGGAAATACTTTCCATTGTATTTTCCTTTCTTTCTTGTTTTAAAGTTACTCAAATGTATAATTAACTTTGTATTCCTAGGTTTTGATTTTAAAATTTAAGCTTGTTGAAATGCTCTTTAGGTAGGTCTGTGAAGGAAGAGGAAAGAGACTTAGGGACTTCAGCCTGGGCTAGACACATGAACGAAGCTTCAAGGTTTACCCCTCAGGTAAAGTCATACTTTAAATGTTTCGAGCACAAGCATTTTTATAGGAAAAAGAGATAATGAAATTGTAAGTACAGAAAGCATGTTGGGACAGGTCTTTCCACACTGTTGTCCTGGTTTTGCTAGGATAGAGTTAATTTTCTTCTCATACTTCTGATGCTGGTAAACAAGTATTATATTTTTGTCATGCTTTTTTCATTGTTGGTTTTTAATTTTATTTTCTTTTCTAACTCTTCTGTCATAGTGGCTAGTATTAAGATACTCAGTTCAGGCTCTTGAAAAATAAAAAATACTTTATAAAAAAAGTGTGAATTTACATTCAGCCTAACTAGGGAAGCACTGTAATGTTGATTCATTGTTATTCCCAACCAGAGCATCAGAACAGGTGGAACCTGTTGATAGTGTTTATAGTGAATATACTTGCTTAGGAAATTGGTATTGCTAAACTGATACAACCTTTCAACAGCCAGCAGGTAGGAACGCTTTTGCTTTCTGATGTCCAGGTGAAATCCAGCAAGGAATACATAAATGAAAGGTTGCGTGTCTTACACTATGAACTTTTTTAGTATTTCTAAACTTGTCTATATTAGAAATATCAGGACAATTAAACAGAACAGTAGAGCAATTAAAGTTGCAAAACAAGAGTTCTATTTAGGAGACATATTTTAACTGCGTGCTTTTTAGGGTGTTTTTTTTTTTGGTAAGAATATCTAACTACATAATACTCCTTACGGTTTGTGATTATCAATATAGCATTTGTTCTTTCATCAGCTGAAAATTGAAAACTAATTGCCTATTTAGGTCGAGAGAGGTTCTCTTCCCCCTCTACTCTGCCCTGGTGAGGCCGCATCTGGAATATTGTGTCCAGTTCTGGGCCCCACAGTTCAAGA